GCTAAAGGTCGCATTGGTAATTGCATTGATCACACCATTCTCAAAATATTCATTGAAAACTTTTATTAAATCTAACTTCACATTATCCCAACAATCTTTGATACATAGCCAGAGTAAACTCATCAGGGCCCGGTGCCTTATCACAACCACACTCAAAAACAGTTTTACATTCTTCTTCCTCACTAAAAGATCTTTCCAAACCATCTTGACACCCCTTCCCTTATCGAGCTCCATTCCAATCCCTCCATTATCAGCCTATCACCCACTGTTGTGGATATAAATTGGTGAAAAATTCAATAATTGATTATTATGATGTTAGTCTAAAAATTCACAATAGATGACTAGACATATCATAAAATACTAATTTTTTTATGAATAATATATCAGTATCACTATATTTGTGATAAATTATATAATGTTATATATTAAACACAATTATCTGTAACATGTCCCCAACATGTCCGTGTCCTATTTTTTTTAGAAATGTCGTGTCTGCATATCCGTGTCGTGTCGTATGTATGTCCTGTATCTGTGTCCATGCTGCTTAGATACACAAACATAGGACACCGATATAAATATAATTTTGGACAAGATTATGAAATTATATACAAATGGAATAAACTTTTTATATGAAAGTAATTTGATGAAAAATAGGATTATGAAATTAGAGCTCTTTGAAATTGAATGAAAATTAAGAATCCAAAATGAAATATTTTTGAAAAAAAATATTTTAGTAGTCATTAATTGTTGAATCATGAATGCTTATGATGAATGTGCTTTGAAATATCAAATATTTTATAATAAGATCATATACATATATATACAAGGTCGTAATAACAAAACAGACGTGAGAATTTGGTCCTAGTCAATATTGTGAAAAGCTCGCCTAGACGAGAAGCGCGGCTCAGTCGCCTTGAGCACCCCAGGCGAAGCGAATATGTCTGAGATGAGGAAAAAGCGAAAAAAACAATCGCCAGTCGCTTAAGCGAAAGGCGAGAAAAGCGACCCTTTTGTTAAGTTTTTAAAGTTTTATTTTTTTATTATGGACTGTTAGATTATTTTATTGTTATTATAGACCGTTAGATTGGGACAATTGAAACTAAATTATGAGATACCCCTACACCCAATTGCCCCCTTATCCCAATATATACAAACCCAAATCCTAAATTTACGATAGAAGTTGTTGGTTGCTTGGTCGTTACTGCTACTGCTCCTTCCAAATGAAGTTCCAATGGGTTTGCCCCTCTGGCCCTCTCTTCTTCTTCTCTTTTCTATTTGTCTTCTTCTTCTTCTTCTTCTGNACGATAGAAGTTGTTGGTTGCTTGGTCGTTACTGCTACTGCTCCTTCCAAATGAAGTTCCAATGGGTTTGCCCCTCTGGCCCTCTCTTCTTCTTCTCTTTTCTATTTCTCTTCTTNATAGAAGTTGTTGGTTGCTTGGTCGTTACTGCTACTGCTCCTTCCAAATGAAGTTCCAATGGGTTTGCCCCTCTGGCCCTCTCTTCTTCTTCTCTTTTCTATTTGTCTTCTTCTTCTTCTTCTTCTGCTTCTTCTTCTTCTTCTTCAACAAAAAGTTCATATGTTGCTGCTTCTGTCTTCTTCTTTGACAGAAATCCAAGATATTTTTCTTTTCTCTCTTTTTTCTCTTATTTTCTTCGTCTATTTCTTCTTCAGTGCTATTGCTACTTTTGTTTCTACTTCGAAAAACAAGATATGTTCTTTTCTTCTGCTTATGTGTCTTCTGTTTCTGTCTTATTCTTTGACAACCAATATGTTCTTTTGCTTATGGTTCTGCTGCTTCTACAGTTCTTCTGTTGATGCTGTACTATTTCTAATTTTCTATTGATTCTATTTCTATTGTTTCTGCTTATGCTTCTAATTTTATGTTAATTCTGTTTCTGTTGTTTCTGATTCTGTTTTTGCTGCTGCTTATGATTTTGCTTCTGCTATTCTTTGTTTTTGTTTTTGCTCATTTTGTTTGTGTTTTTGTTCTACTGCTTCTATTTCTACTTATACTTCTTTGATTCTCTAATTTTTCTTGTCTACTTCTCTGATAATAATGTGACTATGATAGTTGATTAATATGTTTTATTAATTAGTTATTTGTCATTTGATTGTAGTGTGATAGTGTTATTCATAAACAAATAAATCGATATTCATAAAATTAGAACTTGGATATTTAGAAGTAATTAAACTGAAATATTTGCTCNTCGATATTCATAAAATTAGAACTTGGATATTTAGAAGTAATTAAACTGAAATATTTGCTCTTTTTTTATTGTTTGCTTCGCTTCGATGAAGCGTTTCACTTCGCCTCTCGCTTCTCACCTAGGCCTTAAGAGGCTTGATCGCTTCGGTTCGCTTTACGCCTTAAGTAACATTGGTCCTAACTAGTCGAACAAAAAAGACATGGATCTATATTCAATACGCAATCAAAGGATTCCCCCCCCCAAAAAAAAAAATAAAAAAATAATTCTCCTTACTTTGTTTTCACTTTGCTCGAGCATGGCACTCCTTATATAAAATATTCCGTGAGTCCCCTAACATGTCCGTGTCATAATTTTTTGAAAAATAGAATGTCCATGTCGTGTCGTTTCATATCCGTGTCCGTGTTTGCATCCATGCTTCTTAGCTGGGGACAACTGATGATACCAAGATCAAATCCACACTAGGAACAGACCAGTGGCAAGATAAGTAAACCAGCCGACCTAGAGATCAGGTTGACTGAGTTGCTACGCAAGAAAATAGATCAATCGGGGCTTGAACTAGATTGGTTATCGTCAAACGAGCTACGTTTACCTGAAATAGCTCATCCCCGAATGGAGAAAAGGACATAACAGAAATTGCATCATCAGATTTCATCCAAGGGACAAAGAATATATCTCTAGAGTGTCACATCATCAGCTTCTAAAATGTCATGTCATACCTAGGAAATATAGTCTTTACCGACCAAATATTCCCTCTCAAATCCTAACAACTATGGGACCACCCCATCATTACTTGAGGACCATACTACTCTATAGTATAAATAGGCACACCGTTGCCTTACCCAAAAAATGTGCAATTGTATTCTCTAGAGACTGTAATCTTCTTCTTCTCAAAGTAATACAAACTAGAGAGAAAGACTTTATTAGAGTGGATTAATCTAACGCTTCGGCTTGGAGAATCAATTATCCTCTTGTGTCATTGTTACTGTTATTCTGCACATGCACTAAGAGCTCCCTCAGCTCTATAACTCACACTTCTTAGTTTTCCACACTATCAATGGTCATTTAAACATTTATACCAATTAATATGACAAAAATAATATAGGGCGGGAAAATCCAAATATACTAAAAAAAATCAAAAAATATATAATTTTTAAAAAAATTAATTCAAGAAGGCCTGAGCTAGCTCCACCTTATACTATACGAAGATCTAACCCGCTTAGTCTTCCACCCTTCCCAATCATAGCCACCCCACCCCAATACCTCCACACATACGAGAGAAAAAATAAATAAGAAAGGAAGAGAAAAACCACCACACACTCCCATTGAGAATCATCCTACAATGCAAACCTCCATAATATTTTCCAAATAAAGTCGAGTTAAACACTCCCAACTTTCTTACCCTAAACCCACCAGAGACCACACCACTTTACTCTTTCCATTCTAGACCTTCCCATAAAATTCTTTTAATCCAACTCTACAAATCGCCATCATCAGAATGGTAAACAAAGATGTGAAATAGATCGGAAGACTACAAAAGCTACGATGATTATGATAACTCCAACTCCTTTAGATAGATATTGCCTCTTCTAACTTGCTAGGCTGCTCTCAACCCGTAATCCTAGATTGATTTGTCTTGACGTCAGGATTCCCCAAGGCAAGCCTAAGTAGGACGTAAGAAGCTCATCGGCTCAACACAATAGATTAGATGCCAAACCACCATCATCTTCAACCTCCCCAACTGGAATCAGCTCACTCTAGCTATATTTTATCCCAGCCTGATGCTGCCACAAACCATTAACACACATTTCGGGTATCTAGGATCAGTCTAGTTCATATCTCACTACCCACACTATCTAAAGGTTCTATGTGCACATGATGCACCAAGTTTAAGGTTCTACTTTGTGCGCAACAGATGATCCATTGGGCTAACCAATTAAATAGATACGCATTTAAGGACGCTAATTTCCTTTAATACATGATATGTAATCTGAAGGTATTTAAGGAATTTTGGGAAGTCTACTCGGAGTTTATGGTTTTCATTGTCAAGGATCTATTTCTATTGGGCACTGGTTGAGGTCCAAGATACCACCAGTACATGGAGATAAAATATCTAAGGATGGAAGTCAAATGCAGATTCGCTAGTTCCTTTATTTTTCCTTTATTTAGGGTTTCTTCGTAGCCCCCAAAGCCCTCAAAATTAGTTTTCACCACCCAAGATAAGGATAATGTGAACTCATAAGCTAACGAGGATAAGGATAATCGTCCAGATCTAATGGTGAGAGATAAAGGTGCCCCTCCACAGCAGACGGGTGGCTTCCTCTGCATTATGTANTGTGAACTCATAAGCTAACGAGGATAAGGATAATCGTCCAGATCTAATGGTGAGAGAAAAAGGTGCCCCTCCACAGCAGACGGGTGGCTTCCTCTGCATTATGTTTTACCATCTGCTTAAATCTAAGTCTCAGTCAAGTCCACCATTATTTCTCACATCAAATTTTCTGCTCTCAGCTATAACAGACATTGTATCGCATGTAAATGAGCCCCCACGCTTATTATATCTCCTCATATTTTCTCAACCGNAAGTCTCAGTCAAGTCCACCATTATTTCTCACATCAAATTTTCTGCTCTCAGCTATAACAGACATTGTATCGCACGTAAATGAGCCCCCACGCTTATTATATCTCCTCATATTTTCTCAACCGTTCTAAACAACCACATCTTGAATAGCAACTAAACTATCATCATTTTATGATACTAGTCACCATATCATACACACGTTCCTAAAGAAGAATCACAAATCTTTCCCAGTATATCCATCTGCTACAAGCCATATTAGAAAAACTTAAAGATCAAATCCTGGAGTGGAAGTTGATTTTTGTTCCCAGCTTTTTTATTCTGGCATACATGGCAGGAGATTTAGGAAGACTGAGAACTTGGCACCTGCAGATGAAGATTAAACAACCAATATCAGGGATCGCTGCCTAGAATCAGATTATAACACTCACCTTTCTCGTTAGGATTTGCAGATAATCCTTCTTTTGAGAGTATTCCCTCCAGCTCCTTTATTAGGAACGCCTCACGTTTGGCTTCAGGCACCTGCTTAACTCTTTTGTACACTGAAGGAGCAACACTGTAAAATAAGTGGAGAATACCATTATAGCATCAACATTAACAAAGTTCTAGTTCAATAGTTAGTGAGTGAACGAAACAAAAACCTCATCCCACAAGATTTGATAACTGATTTTAGCTGCTCCACACGTATTCCATATGCAGGAGTAGATAATTCTTTCTGCTGCATTTCACAACGACACCATTCAACAAAATAAATTGTTTCTAGCAAATATCAAGAATGGGAAAATTTAACTGCATGACCTTCACAGGTTTGTCAGCAGAGGACTGAGATTGACCATCTTCAGACACATTTCCACCATCTTCCCCATCACTATTTTCCTTTGAAGTCATATCTCCTTGCTTGTTTTGCTTCTTGCTGGACACCTTAGTCTCCTTTGCAGGTCTTTTGCGTTTCTTGAGCCCTTCAGAATTCATTACTTTTCCTTTTGGAGCAGCTTTCTTTTTTGATTTGACTTCATCTTCTAACTCATCGTCCTCATCACTATTACTATTTAATGAATCTGCACTTCCTTCAGCGCTGATCTTCTTAGATGCATTGGTGTGAGAAGCTTTCCCAGAACTTTGTTTCTTAACACTACTTACAGATTCAGAAGCTTCAAGGGATCTCAATGCCTGCTTAAGAATGATGAACACCAAGTTAATTGAACGAACACTTCCAGAACTTAAAAGAACATATCTTCAAAAAAAATTGCCCTCACCTTTTCTACTTGCTCAGTTATTAGCTTCTTAAAAGGATCAAGAGTATTTTTATTAAGTTCAAGATCTTCCTCCAGAAGGCGGCGAACTCTGGCCATAGTAATTTCCCTGAGAAAGAACACTAAGTCATGACCACTAATCTAATTACCTGAACCACAGGAGAGATGGACAGTACCCATACAATTTCATGTAAATACACACAGTAGCAACAAGGATGTCGCCAACAAAAAGGAGGATAAAAATTAGAGGTAGATCAATCAGCAATTCAGAAGATACAGTAACATACTCGGAATTAGCTTTAAAATAAGCTCCTCTTTTCTGAATGGCCTTTTTTATTGTGCTCTCACTGGGAACTTCTTTCTTTTCAATGCCTTCAATTTCCTCCTGTACAGAGCTGGTTGATTTGTTTACTGTCAGAAGGCCCATCACTGGAGAGTCATCCATTTTCAGCTCATCTTCAGATCTTGGTTCATTTACTTCTTTCTTTGTCTGATGCTTTTCAGGTGACTTTGCTTGTTCTCCTTTAGCTGGACAGCCTTTTTTCTCCATTGTTTGCCCTGAATTCTTGGAGGCATGGCCATCATTGGCAGCTTCCATACACTGGCATTTAGCACATAAATGTAATTAGAATCATTCATGACTCCCATAATTAATTTCCATTAAAAAAAGAATTTAACTAGGCAGTTTCCCCATACATATGCATGAAAATGCCAAGGGGTAAAAATAATACTTTATAATCCAACAAATATAACAATACAACCACCTGCACCAAAGGACAACAGCTACAGGACACAAATACGACACCACGCGGACACGCAAACATGAAAGTTTCCAAAATAGTAGGGCACAGGGAAGGGAGAACAGGAATAGCATATTATATATATATATATATATATATATTACACCTCCTAAATTGAATATATACCCCACATAAACGGCTCAAATTAAAAATCATGGGACCAAATTCATTAAAATTCAATGCATTTTTTAATTGACCTTTTTTTGTATTACATGATGCCTTTAGGCACGGAGATCCATCACTATATATATTACATCTCCTAAATTGAATATATACCCCACATAAATGGCTCAAATTAAAAATCATGGGACCAAATTCATTAAAATTCAATGCATTTTTTAATTGACCTTTTTTTGTATTAAATAATGCTTCAGGCATGAAGGTCCATCACTATGGTTGCTGCATTTGTGTTTGTAGCACAGTAGCGGGGGTTTTCTATGAATTGGAAGGGTGTTTTAAATGGCATTGCCTATCATTTATTTTAATGTTGAAAGGCATCGTTGGTATTGCCTCTATCCTATCATATATTTTACTGTTGAAACATATACTTTGCGATTTGGGCATCATTGGTATTGCCTTAGATTTTGCACTAGTTACATTCTCGAAGCATAATTTTGTTTATTGGTTTCTCATGCATTGAGGACTGAAAGCACAAATATTATATGCGAGTGCAATTGAAATTTGTCTAAAAAGATGGATGCCTATCAATAATTCATTACCTGTATACTTCAAATTAACTAGCAATAACCCCGTACCAGGAGACACTATGCAATACCAAAAATCAAACATTGATCGTGCAACATTTATATTTTAAAAAATAATTTCTTTTCTTTTCTTTTTTTAGTTCCGCAATTTAAAAAAAAGTGAACTACTAGAAAATAAGAGAGAAGTAAAGGAGAGAGAAGAGAGAGGTAGGTGTGAATTAGTGGGTTGTTTGATATTTGGGACTGTGTTAGTTGAATTGTCTAACATTGGGAAAAAAAATTTGAGATGAATTTTGTACTACTAGATCACAGTAGATGAAATTTTGAATCAATCTTAATCATTATTGCAATTTTGTAAGTTGAGGATTCAACTTTCTAGTTGTAATATTAGATAGATTATTCAGTTTCCAACATTACTTAAAATTGCAACATTATTGCAAAAACAACACAAAAAAGTCATCTAATCGCAAATGAATGAAAAACTTCAACAGAAGGGCAAGGACTCTTAGCATCATGTGTATGTCCTCAATGTCACTGGAAATCACTGTAGGCTGCAGGAAGACAACAGAGGTCATTGGGTGTCATGATCATGGCCCTTGCGAGACAATATTTCTAGTTTGCTCTATCTCTCTTTTCCTCTTCCTAACTTGTTGCATTCTCAAAGCCAATGGTTGTAAGACGTTAGCTACTTACTCGGAATAAAAAAAAGGCAGAAGCTGCTTATCTTACCATATTTTCTTTTTTTTGTATTCATTTTAGCTTTTTATTTTAAAATACAATGTTTCTATACTGCACATTTTTCCATAACAAGTGCCTTGAACGTGTTCCTAGCATGTCCTGACCGTGTCCTCAGCTTGTCCCAACATGTCCAAATTTCAAGAAGAATATCGGGATGCTTCTTCACTTGTGCGAGCATATCCAGTGCAAGTCCCTATTCTAGACGTATCCAAAACTGATAGGCAAGCCCGGAATAGGTGTCTGTGCTTCCTAGACGTGCACTAACACTAGCAGATGACAAAGACTACTAGGCAGAGAATTATCTCTTTTAACAGAATCATTAAAACAGTTTTGTTCCCCTTTGATAAGTATAAAATTCACTAAAACACCACCAACTAAACACATACCCACACACACACAAGCACCTTATTGTCCACAACCCATCAAAACCTACAAGTACCTATGAGTTTCCATATTATGTCCAGAATCCAGTAAATAGTTCTGGAGAGGGATCACCCACTTCAAGTTGATCACCTAAACCAGAAAAGTCAAAATCTTTCTTCAGCTTATGAGCTGTCACATCCACTCCATCAAGAAAATGTCGATACCTCTCCTTTCAAACAATAACCACTCCATTTGGATGAGATGTACACAGATAAATGTATTTCTAGCATTGGTTTTCACATTCAAATGAACATCTTACTCATTTCATCACTGCAACATCTTACAATGTAACTGACGTCAACCAGCAGTGGAAGGGAACAAGGTCTTCCACAAAGCAAGATATCTATGAAATAAATGCACAACTTGTATATCCAAAGTATTTTTACAATGAAACATTTAGAATGAAGGCAAACTATGACCTAGGAGGAATGTAACAAATATCTTATAAACCACCGACAGTGAGTAATAAGACCACCAAAGTATTAAATTAACGGTTTCCAAGAGAGATAAAAGTGTTACTTAACCCCCCCCCCCAAAAAAAAAAAAAAANTTTTAATAAACCCCCCCCCCCCCAAAAAAAAAAAAAAAACACAGGACATGGTAGATTTACATAAAAGCTACAAAATATCATGGTTCTTCAAATCTAAAATTTTCATATATCTGCCTTTCTGCTAAACTACCACTTCCCTAAGCAACTTTTTTTAAGATCTTATCATTATTTTGCTCAATTGTACTGTGACTACCAAGCCAATGATTTTTTTTTTCAAGCCACCATTAATTGTAGAAACTGCAAAGCATTTCGCTTCTACGACTGCAAATCTATCTCAATGCCTCTGTGTCTGTGTAGATGAGTGGATGGTGTAATTGAAGCTTATCATCTCCGGAAAGGTTCTCATTTGATTTAAATTTCAAAAATGGGTGGGGAATTGATGTTTGATTTCTCAATTGACTAACCCTCATTGGAAGCCAGATAAGCCAAATTGAAATTAATGACAAACCTTATGTGTGACTAGTGAAATTAATTTGAAAAAATTCATTCTTTGTGATTTGGTTCTTCCAACTGCCTTGATTCTTAATGGGAAACGTATTATCGTCATCATAACTGTCAAAATGTAGCCCTATCTTTTATAGGAAATCAACTTTGACATAAAGAAAGTTTTTTCCTTCCCTTTGTCAAATAAGTCAACCACACAACCTATGTGATGCAGACAACACAGTTAAATGAAACTAAAATAACACAAAAACCTTAACCGATTGATTATCACCGATAATACCATGCTAGTGTTCTTAAACAGCTTTGTTAAATCCTAAAAATACTTGGGAAAAGAGAAAAATGTTCTCTGAAATATTATTTCAAAACAATCAAAAGCTACTTATATTAGCTCAAACATAGTTTGGATATTACAAATAACAAAACCCTAATTAAACTAGGAAAAAAATAAACTAGATCCCCAATTAAATGTGGAAGTGAAATAAACTAGGAAACAAATTAAATCGGACTCTCCTAAAAATTCTCTAATCAAACATAATTGGAAATTAATCATCCCACTTCAAATGGAGTTGACCACGTTCAAAACCAATGCCCTCAATCTCGGCATGTGTTTCACATCAATGTGAGTACCTTTATTTTTCGTACTTGGTGGATGTGATTTTTTTTTTAAGCTAACACCACAAAATTGAATTGATATTAAGATTCTCAATTAGATTTTATTAGAATTTATTGTTTCAATGACTGCTTGTTGATTTAGATTCTAGAAAAGAGGGCCAAAACCTTGAATAAACAAAATTGAATTCTCTCTATTGTCAAGTAGGGGGGGAACCACCCATGGGCAGCCCACCATCAAATTTTTTTTTCTTGATATTAGATATCAATTTTTTGAAATAGAATTTAGACATATTTAACTGTGTCCACACTATTATTGTATTCTGGTGATATCAATTTGGATAGACCCCTACCTAAATGATTATTAACTTTCGAACAATGTTATTGATACATAATTTAAGGACCTAATGCATTGTGATATTAAGATTAATAATGAGTCTCAATATGTAATAAACTCCACTATCCATCCAATGGTCACAAACAATTGGGTCTCCACCAATTAAATCTCAAATTAGGTGCAATTTGCATTATTCTTAACTTTTAGACACATTTCAGACATGTCCGAATAAGTTTTGGACATATTAGGGTTATTTTGTAATTTTTTTCAAATTGCAGGATTATTTTGTTATTGTTTAAAAATGAATGTCATTTATGTAGTAAATTATATAAGGTCATAAATGAAAAGATTGTTACCAAAATTTATATTCAAAAAAATATTTGTTGATAAGATTGATTTGTAAATGTTTCAAATGATAAAAACACATCAGGGTCAACCGTAAGTGACAATAATTAATCTCATTCTCAATAAGAAGTTTTAATTATTTTTTATTTGTTCATACTACGTTTTTACCTTTTATGTTTAATCACTTAATCAACCTTTAAGTATTAAATATGATTTCAATAATTATGAATTTATGAACTTCAACAGTCAATTGAAAAAAAAAAATTAAAGCGTGCTAATGTGCCCACCCTAAAACTAACTTTTTCCTCGCTCTGCCTCTCCTGTTAAGTATCTTTTTTAATTGGCGAGTTTCCATTCCGGTTCTTTTGTCTAAATAGAGAATGTTGGAATCTGTGTGTGCTCTAACCATTTTTTACAATTTGAACCTATTTTGGTTATTATTACTCCATTTGTGATGTCATTGCAAAGCCACAATTACTCTGAATGACTGCCTAATGAAGGAATTTCAACTATTAAGAACCAATACAAGGAAACACTAGAGAACATTCCATTCAACTTCACCAAGGTCAGCAAAAAATGTCAATAATAGAAGGGTGCATGTACCATGCATGCATCAGTCTGCACAGTTTCTCCAACTATAAATACACTGTCATGTTTCTATATCAACCCGATAGCACATTGCCACATTCCTCTTGCGCTCAACTGTCCCTAAAACTGTCAACTTGATCTGTATCACTCTTTAGCAAATGCAACAATTAGTTTTCAATGAATACTANATCAGTCTGCACAGTTTCTCCAACTATAAATACACTGTCATGTTTCTATATCAACCCAATAGCACATTGCCACATTCCTCTTGCACTCAACTGTCCCTGAAACTGTCAACTTGATCTGTATCACTCTTTAGCAAATGCAACAATTAGTTTTCAATGAATACTATTCAACCATCAACCAGCTATCTTTTGTTTTGTCCCTCATCAATACTTTTGGCAAAATAATGCCAAACCATCATTTGATCTGGAGGGTTTTGGTTCAAGCAATAAAGCTAATACCTTTTGAGTTGTATGGATGTATGGTATTCGCATTGATTTGGGTGGCTCCTTTGGAAGACTTGTGGGGCAAAATTTTGTTCTTGGCATCTCCTTGGACTTCAACTTGGAAAGAGTTTGGAGAGACTCCACTATTTGTAATAAAAGATCATTGTGGAGTGTTATGACACACGGCAACTTTCCTTTCGTTCCTTTTGTTTCTTTTTCTTTTCAGTTTTTCAGGTTGTTGCTTTCTCTTTACTTTTTGAAACTATTAGAGGACTCCTTGCCAAATTGCCAAACCCTCAACCCGTTATCCTTTTCTGTTTTTGTTATGCATCATCTTTAACCTGAAATACTCCACCACAATTACTATTTTATTAAAAAAAGCCAACACAATACATGAGGCCCCTGGGTCACTGTGGAGTAAGCTTACCTTTGCATCAAGGCTCAGTCTCAACCATTTTTACATTACTAAGACACCAAAAGATTACAATTAATGACAACATATCTTACTGCAATGTATGGAAATCAGGTATCCAATGTTATTTCAAGTTCAACTCTACAAAGTTCTAATCCTCTTATTGTTTGGAGATCAGTAGATGAATTTTATTTCTCCATTCAACTATATCTAGCTTCCACAACCTTATCAAATGTTGAACCCTTGGCACACATTTTCTCACCGGTCCGTATTCGTTTTTAGGTGTCCCAAGCCATTTTGGCACCCCTTAAATTGCTCCACCATTAGATTCATTAGACCTTNGGATCTCAATGCCTGCTTAAGAATGATGAACACCAAGTTAATTGAACGAACACTTCCAGAACTTAAAAGAACATATCTTCAAAAAAAATTGCCCTCACCTTTTCTACTTGCTCAGTTATTAGCTTCTTAAAAGGATCAAGAGTATTTTTATTAAGTTCAAGATCTTCCTCCAGAAGGCGGCGAACTCTGGCCATAGTAATTTCCCTGAGAAAGAACACTAAGTCATGACCACTAATCTAATTACCTGAACCACAGGAGAGATGGACAGTACCCATACAATTTCATGTAAATACACACAGTAGCAACAAGGATGTCGCCAACAAAAAGGAGGATAAAAATTAGAGGTAGATCAATCAGCAATTCAGAAGATACAGTAACATACTCGGAATTAGCTTTAAAATAAGCTCCTCTTTTCTGAATGGCCTTTTTTATTGTGCTCTCACTGGGAACTTCTTTCTTTTCAATGCCTTCAATTTCCTCCTGTACAGAGCTGGTTGATTTGTTTACTGTCAGAAGGCCCATCACTGGAGAGTCATCCATTTTCAGCTCATCTTCAGATCTTGGTTCATTTACTTCTTTCTTTGTCTGATGCTTTTCAGGTGACTTTGCTTGTTCTCCTTTAGCTGGACAGCCTTTTTTCTCCATTGTTTGCCCTGAATTCTTGGAGGCATGGCCATCATTGGCAGCTTCCATACACTGGCATTTAGCACATAAATGTAATTAGAATCATTCATGACTCCCATAATTAATTTCCATTAAAAAAAGAATTTAACTAGGCAGTTTCCCCATACATATGCATGAAAATGCCAAGGGGTAAAAATAATACTTTATAATCCAACAAATATAACAATACAACCACCTGCACCAAAGGACAACAGCTACAGGACACAAATACGACACCACGCGGACACGCAAACATGAAAGTTTCCAAAATAGTAGGGCACAGGGAAGGGAGAACAGGAATAGCATATTATATATATATATATATATATATATTACACCTCCTAAATTGAATATATACCCCACATAAACGGCTCAGATTAAAAATCATGGGACCAAATTCATTATAATTCAATGCATTTTTTAATTGACCTTTTTTCGTATTACATGATGCCTTTAGGCACGGAGATCCATCACTATATATATTACATCTCCTAAATTGAATATATACCCCACATAAATGGCTCAAATTAAAAATCATGGGACCAAATTCATTAAAATTCAATGCATTTTTTAATTGACCTTTTTTTGTATTAAATAATGCTTCAGGCATGAAGGTCCATCACTATGGTTGCTGCATTTGTGTTTGTAGCACAGTAGCGGGGGTTTTCTATGAATTGGAAGGGTGTTTTAAATGGCATTGCCTATCATTTATTTTAATGTTGAAAGGCATCGTTGGTATTGCCTCTATCCTATCATATATTTTACTGTTGAAACATATACTTTGCGATTTGGGCATCATTGGTATTGCCTTAGATTTTGCACTAGTTACATTCTCGAAGCATAATTTTGTTTATTGGTTTCTCATGCATTGAGGACTGAAAGCACAAATATTATATGCGAGTGCAATTGAAATTTGTCTAAAAAGATGGATGCCTATCAATAATTCATTACCTGTATACTTCAAATTAACTAGCAATAACCCCGTACCAGGAGACACTATGCAATACCAAAAATCAAACATTGATCGTGCAACATTTATATTTTAAAAAATAATTTCTTTTCTTTTCTTTTTTTAGTTCCGCAATTTAAAAAAAAGTGAACTACTAGAAAATAAGAGAGAAGTAAAGGAGAGAGAAGAGAGAGGTAGGTGTGAATTAGTGGGTTGTTTGATATTTGGGACTGTGTTAGTTGAATTGTCTAACATTGGGAAAAAAAATTTGAGATGAATTTTGTACTACTAGATCACAGTAGATGAAATTTTGAATCAATCTTAATCATTATTGCAATTTTGTAAGTTGAGGATTCAACTTTCTAGTTGTAATATTAGATAGATTATTCAGTTTCCAACATTACTTAAAATTGCAACATTATTGCAAAAACAACACAAAAAAGTCATCTAATCGCAAATGAATGAAAAACTTCAACAGAAGGGCAAGGACTCTTAGCATCATGTGTATGTCCTCAATGTCACTGGAAATCACTGTAGGCTGCAGGAAGACAACAGAGGTCATTGGGTGTCATGATCATGGCCCTTGCGAGACAATATTTCTAGTTTGCTCTATCTCTCTTTTCCTCTTCCTAACTTGTTGCATTCTCAAAGCCAATGGTTGTAAGACGTTAGCTACTTACTCGGAATAAAAAAAAGGCAGAAGCTGCTTATCTTACCATATTTTCTTTTTTTTGTATTCATTTTAGCTTTTTATTTTAAAATACAATGTTTCTATACTGCACATTTTTCCATAACAAGTGCCTTGAACGTGTTCCTAGCATGTCCTGACCGTGTCCTCAGCTTGTCCCAACATGTCCAAATTTCAAGAAGAATATCGGGATGCTTCTTCACTTGTGCGAGCATATCCAGTGCAAGTCCCTATTCTAGACGTATCCAAAACTGATAGGCAAGCCCGGAATAGGTGTCTGTGCTTCCTAGACGTGCACTAACACTAGCAGATGACAAAGACTACTAGGCAGAGAAGTATCTCTTTTAACAGAATCATTAAAACAGTTTTGTTCCCCTTTGATAAGTATAAAATTCACTAAAACACCACCAACTAAACACATACCCACACACACACAAGCACCTTATTGTCCACAACCCATCAAAACCTACAAGTACCTATGAGTTTCCATATTATGTCCAGAATCCAGTAAATAGTTCTGGAGAGGGATCACCCACTTCAAGTTGATCACCTAAACCAGAAAAGTCAAAATCTTTCTTCAGCTTATGAGCTGTCACATCCACTCCATCAAGAAAATGTCGATACCTCTCCTTTCAAACAATAACCACTCCATTTGGATGAGATGTACACAGATAAATGTATTTCTAGCATTGGTTTTCACATTCAAATGAACATCTTACTCATTTCATCACTGCAACATCTTACAATGTAACTGACGTCAACCAGCAGTGGAAGGGGGCAAGGTCTTCCACAAAGCAAGATATCTATGAAATAAATGCACAACTTGTATATCCAAAGTATTTTTACAATGAAACATTTAGAATGAAGGCAAACTATGACCTAGGAGGAATGTAACAAATATCTTATAAACCACCGACAGTGAGTAATAAGACCACCAAAGTATTAAATTAACGGTTTCCAAGAGAGATAAAAGTGTTACTTAACCCCCCCCCCCCAAAAAAAAAAAAAAAACACAGGACATGGTAGATTTACATAAAAGCTACAAAATATCATGGTTCTTCAAAACTAAACTTTTCATAAATCTGCCTTTCTGCTAAACTACCACTTCCCTAAGCAACTTTTTTTAAGATCTTATCATTATTTTGCTCAATTATACTGTGACTACCAAGCCAATGATTTTTTTTTTTCAAGCCACCATTAATTGTAGAAACTGCAAAGCATTTCGCTTCTACGACTGCAAATCTATCTCAATGCCTCTGTGTCTGTGTAGATGAGTGGATGGTGTAATTGAAGCTTATCATCTCCGGAAAGGTTCTCATTTGATTTAAATTTCAAAAATGGGTGGGGAATTGATGTTTGATTTCTCAATTGACTAACCCTCATTGGAAGCCAGATAAGCCAAATTGAAATTAATGACAAACCTTATGTGTGACTAGTGAAATTAATTTGAAAAAATTCATTCTTTGTGATTTGGTTCTTCCAACTGCCTTGATTCTTAATGGGAAACGTATTATCGTCATCATAACTGTCAAAATGTAGCCCTATCTTTTATAGGAAATCAACTTTGACATAAAGAAAGTTTTTTCCTTCCCTTTGTCAAATAAGTCAACCACACAACCTATGTGATGCAGACAACACAGTTAAATGAAACTAAAATAACACAAAAACCTTAACCGATTGATTATCACCGATAATACCATGCTAGTGTTCTTAAACAGCTTTGTTAAATCCTAAAAATACTTGGGAAAAGAGAAAAATGTTCTCTGAAATATTATTTCAAAACAATCAAAAGCTACTTATATTAGCTCAAACATAGTTTGGATATTATAAATAACAAAACCCTAATTAAACTAGGAAAAAAATAAACTAGATCCCCAATTAAATGTGGAAGTGAAATAAACTAGGAAACAAATTAAATCGGACTCTCCTAAAAATTCTCTAATCAAACATAATTGGAAATTAATCATCCCACTTCAAATGGAGTTGACCACGTTCAAAACCAATGCCCTCAATCTCGGCATGTGTTTCACATCAATGTGAGTACCTTTATTTTTCGTACTTGGTGGATGTGATTTTTTTTTTAAGCTAACACCACAAAATTGAATTGATATTAAGATTCTCAATTAGATTTTATTAGAATTTATTGTTTCAATGACTGCTTGTTGATTTAGATTCTAGAAAAGAGGGCCAAAACCTTGAATAAACAAAATTGAATTCTCTCTATTGTCAAGTAGGGGGGGAACCACCCATGGGCAGCCCACCATCAAATTTTTTTTTCTTGATATTAGATATCAATTTTTTGAAATAGAATTTAGACATATTTAACTGTGTCCACACTATTATTGTATTCTGGTGATATCAATTTGGATAGACCCCTACCTAAATGATTATTAACTTTCGAACAATGTTATTGATACATAATTTAAGGACCTAATGCATTGTGATATTAAGATTAATAATGAGTCTCAATATGTAATAAACTCCACTATCCATCCAATGGTCACAAACAATTGGGTCTCCACCAATTAAATCTCAAATTAGGTGCAATTTGCATTATTCTTAACTTTTAGACACATTTCAGACATGTCCGAATAAGTTTTAGACATATTAGGGTTATTTTGTAATTTTTTTAAATTGCAGGATTATTTTGTTATTGTTTAAAAATGAATGTCATTTATGTAGTAAATTATATAAGGTCATAAATGAAAAGATTGTTACCAAAATTTATATTCAAAAAAATATTTGTTGATAAGATTGATTTGTAAATGTTTCAAATGATAAAAACACATCAGGGTCAACCGTAAGTGACAATAATTAATCTCATTCTCAATAAGAAGTTTTAATTATTTTTTATTTGTTCATACTACGTTTTTACCTTTTATGTTTAATCACTTAATCAACCTTTAAGTATTAAATATGATTTCAATAATTATGAATTTATGAACTTCAACAGTCAATTGAAAAAAAAAAATTAAAGCGTGCTAATGTGCCCACCCTAAAACTAACTTTTTCCTCGCTCTGCCTCTCCTGTTAAGTATCTTTTTTAATTGGCGAGTTTCCATTCCGGTTCTTTTGTCTAAATAGAGAATGTTGGAATCTGTGTGTGCTCTAACCATTTTTTACAATTTGAACCTATTTTGGTTATTATTACTCCATTTGTGATGTCATTGCAAAGCCACAATTACTCTGAATGACTGCCTAATGAAGGAATTTCAACTATTAAGAACCAATACAAGGAAACACTAGAGAACATTCCACTCAACTTCACCAAGGTCAGCAAAAAATGTCAATAATAGAAGGGTGCATGTACCATGCATGCATCAGTCTGCACAGTTTCTCCAACTATAAATACACTGTCATGTTTCTATATCAACCCGATAGCACATTGCCACA